TCTCAGCTCGATTTTCAAGTGTTGATTGAATGGATTACATTCCATCGTACTTAATTAGAACGATGATTGGGACACTATGTATCTTTTGATCTCATACGAATGAACTCAGAATGAAACTCTAAGCTGCCTACGTATCTCGGTGAAGAGGATTAAGTCATACCGTAGTTCAAAATGGCTGATTTTCTTTTATGTACTAACTTTTTCCTAGGGCGCCTCTTTCGAGATTTTCAACCTAGCTGACTCTTTTTTTTATGTGGTCTATACACAGTTTAGACTCATGCGGACCAGGAGTGTAGGAACATGCAGTTTAGGCTCATGCGTCAAGGAGTGTAGGAACATGCAGTTTAGGCTCTTCAAAAACTTGCCATTGATAGGGCCAATTTTCATGCCATCTGCATCAAATAGCTTGTAAGCCCCACTTGGGTAAGCTTCTTGTATGACATATGGCCCATCCCATTTTGAAGTGAACTTCCCTACAGGTTTATGAGAAGTAATTATGGGTCTTCGTACGACAAGGACTTGATCTCCTACTTGAAAGGATCTAGGGAAAACTCTTTTATTGAAGGCGCGAGACAATTGAGCTTGATAACATTCAAGACTATGTTGAGATTCCAATCTCTTCTCATCAAGAGCCTCCAACTCTGCTAATCGAAGTCGAGCATTTTCTTTATCAGTAATCTCTTCTTAAATAGCTAGTCGTGATGAAGGTATTTGACGCTCGAGTGACAAGAGGGCTTCGACTCCATAAACGAGTGCATAAGGGGTCACTTGTGTTGGCGTGCGGTGAATTGTCCTAAATGCCCACAGAGCTTCTTCCATACGGTCATGCCAATCCCATTTGGATTTGGTGACGACTTTCTTTAACAAGTTGCATAGAGTCTTGTTGAATGTCTCGGCTAGACCATTGGTGGCAGCATTGTACATAGAAGAGTTACGTTGCTTGAAGCCAAAGAGTTCACAAATCTTGTTCATCAACCTATTGTCGAATGACTTGCCATTATCGGCTATTATGTAACGAGGAATGCCAAAGCGATAGATAATGTTAACTAGGATAAAACTTGCAACATTTTCCTTCTGTACTTTCTTAAGAGCAATAACTTCAACCCATTTTGAGAAGTAGTGAGTTGCAGCCAAGATGTATAGGTGCCCACCAGAGGACTTTGGCAGTGGTCCAACAACATCCAATCCCCAAGCGTCAAATGGCCAGGATGCAGTAGTCAGGTGCAACACTTCAGGAGGTTGATAAATAAAATTCGCATGGAATTGACAAGTCTTGCATCTTCTAGCGTAGTTCAAGCAATCTTTTACCATCGTTGGCCAATAATATCCCATTGTTATACCTCATTTTAAACTGGTTAAAGTAAAGTATAACATATATGCAATTCTGAGTTTGATTAAAGTTAAAGAGTCGCCACCTAATTAATTCTAAGGTGAATTAGGACACCTAAATTGATTAAAGTAATTTAATAAAGTATAACTCTTTTTAGAGTCTACTTAACCTAAAGATTCTAGGTATGAGTTCAATTAATTTAAAGGGAAGATTTTTAAGGTACCCTTTAAGATCCATTATAAATGGTTAATTGACCGGACTAAAGTTAATTAAGTCCTTAAACTAAATGTAAATGTAAATGTAGTGGTCTTCTTTTATAAAAAGAAAATCAGATCCACTCTAAAAAATGTTGAAGCGATGTATCTTTGTTTTAAGGAAAACTGATTTGGAATTGTATTGTTGAAAAACTGTTTTCTTCTTAGAGTGGATCTAATCTTAAAGTAATTTTAACTTGTTAAATCCAAAAATGGAACACTAAACAGCATCCATTAATTTAGAAAGCAAAGTCATGTTTGAATGTTTGAAACAGTAAAAGGGTAAACATAGATGAGAACTTCGGTAGTGGGAATTCTACTTGTTTCATTCTTTTAAAAAAACTACAAAAATAAGTGTAGTTATTAGTCTTACAAAATCGATTGAGTGGAGAAATTAAGTTTAAAAACTATAGTTGATTTTACAATACCTCAGTTGGCTTAACAATTATCTAACATAGGTCATGATTCTAGAAAGCTTAAATTAAGTGATGGATGCTACTTTCCATGTAAAATAAAATCTGCAAAATAAAATAAGACTGAGGTATGTAGTAATATAAAGCTTAACAATCAATCTCAGAGTAGGGTAGAACTTCGCCTTGAGAAGTGACAAATACAACACTAGCACCAGCTCCTCCGCGATGTACAACACTATCAAAGTACATCTTCCATAGAGGTTGAACTGAAATGACCATTGCGTCCTCATCAGGTAGTTCTTAGCTCCCAATCATCAGGTATAGGGTGATCTGCCAAGAAATCCGCTAACGCTTGTCCTTTTATAACTTTTTGAGGGATGTACACAATTTAAAATTGTTGAAACTGGAGATACCACCTTGCTAGTTGATCACTAAGGACAGGTTTTGACATCACGAACTTGATGGGATTTGCTCTAGAAACCAAACGAACGACATGAGCTTGAAAGTAGTGCTTCAACTTTTGGATTGGGAAGACTAGCACCAAACATAACTTTTCGATTGGTGAATAATTCAGCTCACTTGGTGTCATCATCCTGCTCAAGTAGTAAAGGGAGTTTTCTTTCCCTTCACTATTTTCTTGGGCCAACAATGCTTTGACAGACCTTTCTTGTGCTGAAATGTATAGTATCATCGGCTTTCCAAGTATAGGGGCTGCCAAAACTGGAGGCTTCATCAAGTAAGTTTTGATACTTTCAAAGGCATTGCTACAAGTTTGGTCCCACTTTAAAGGAATGCTTTTCTTCATGAGGCGACTAAATGGTTGGCACCTCCCAACTAGGTTTGAGATGAATCTTCTAAGGTATGCTAGCTTTCCTTGGAGACTTTTCAATTCATGAATATCCTGAGGCTTAGGAATTTTCAAAATGGCATCCACTTTGGCTTGATCAATTTCGATCCCTCGATGTCGAACAATGAAACCAAAGAACTATCCAGAAGTAACTCCAAAAGCACATTTCAATGGATTCATCCTAAGTTGGTACCTCCGGAGCAACTCAAACACCATTCTCAAGTCATTCAAGTGGTCGCTCTTTTCTCTTGATTTTACCACCAAATCGTCAACATAGCATTCGACATTCTTGTGGAGAAGATCATCAAAAATATTTTGTATAGCCCTTTGGTAAGTAGAACCAGTGTTCTTTAAGCCAAAAGGCATTACTTTGTAGCAATAAATGCCCTTGGGGGTACATAATGCAGTAAGCTCTTCATCTTTTGGCGCCATGCGAATTTGGTTATAGCATGATAAGCCATCCATAAATGACATTGCATTGTACCCAGTAATAGCATCGATCATCAGCTCTTGAATAGGAAGCGGGAATTCATCTTTCGGGCGCGCATTGTTGAGATCCCTGAAGTCAACACACACTCGAATCTGGCCATTTTTCTTCCTTACATGGACAATACTTGAAACCCATGTTGGGTATTTAACTTCACGAATAAAGCCAGCTTCGATGAGTTTGTTAACTTCGGTTTCAATCAAGGGAGCCAAGTCCGGCCTAAAGTGCATTTGGGCTTGTTTAACACAGCGAGCACCATTCTTGACGGCAAGGTGATGGACTGCTACTTTCGGGTCCAAGCCATGCATCTCTTTGTAACTTCAAGCAAAGACATCTCTGAACTCCTTGAGTAACTGAATATAAGTGATTTCTTCATCGATTGCTAGTAAAGCACTTAGATATGTGAGCCTTGGTTCTTCATCTGTGTTAAGGTTAACTTCTTTTAAGGTATCAATCATTGCCTTCACCCCTTGTTCAAGTTTCAGGGGAGTATCTTTCGAATCTTCATCTTCTTGAGGGTCCCCATCGTTGAAGGATACATGATAATACAGTGAAACATCCTCCAATTTCTCGTCATCCTCTAGTAGAGATGAAACACCGTACTCGCCTTGTACAGTAACATGATACGAAGAAACCACACTTTCTTCGTCGTCATCATGTTCTTTAGTGTAGACCATAGTGTATGGCTTCACACCGTTAGTACCTCATCACATGAAACCATGACTTTTGTTTGTCGCCTCATTCTAGAAGGAACCAGACTTTGGAAATCCTTAGAGATCTTCTGAATTTTGGGCAAAACGGGTGTTCTTGTATTTCGATAATTTCTCTCGAACTTATTCCCTTTCTTTAATGGACCCAATCTCATAAACACGGAAGTCCTCACAGTTGATTTTTCAAGTCGATCAAAGATAGAAGGCTTGTTAGAAGTGACAAATTCATCTTCTACAGTGATATAATTGATGTTCACTCTTCTTATGGACATGCGCACTGGTGACGGTTTCTTGTATCCCAAACCTTCATGTGGTTGCCTTGCCGCAGCTTCTGATGGTAGTTTCCCTAACTTTGACGGCATCGGGACTGTATCCGATTTTTGAAACATGAAGAATTAAAAGATTAAATTGAGAATTTTTCGTACTCTGTCATTTTCCACATTCCGCCTTATTAATACTCCTTCCGTTTCAATTTATGTGAAATTATTTTCTTTTTAGTCTGTGCCAAAAAAGATGACCTTTTTCCATATTTGAAAACAATTTACCTTTATGCAATTGTTTATAGCCAAACAAAATATATGTGCCCCATTTTACACCACAAGTTCAAAAGTCTTCTCTCTTTCTTAAACTCCGTGCCCAGTCAAATAAGTTCACATAAATTGAAACGGAGAGAGTATTTATTAGTTTTTAATTTTTTTAATTAATATATAAATATATTTGAGATTCTAAAATAAATTATTTAATTATATGTTTTAACATAAATAAATTAACAAAATAAGTTTTGGGTATTCTTTTGTTAGAACAATCAAATAAGATCCAAATTTAAGTGTTGCTATTGGCCATAACAGGTAATTGTTCTAAAAGGGCACAAAAGATTTGGATAAATGAGGATTTTATTATTATTATTTAAAGAGTTAGTAGTATTATTTAAGAAAAGAAAATATCCTAACCTTCTCTCTACAAGACTATACACTTGCACTTCTCTCTGTGTCTTTGTTTAGTTTCTGTCTCACATTTTTCTCAAGAAGTAGAGAACAGAGAGGGAGGGAGAGGAGAGTGGAGATATGTGGGGGGTCTCACTTGTTTCACTCCCAATCTCTCTTTCGAATGGCCCTCTCCCATTTTGTTCCAAACCAAAGGGTACACTCTCTTTAAAATTCTCTGCCTTAATTTTTTCCTTATTACTTGCAAGTCTCCCCCTTATACATGCTTCATTTTCAATCCATTTCCACAATTCTGTTTCTCCCTTTCTTCACTCTTTCATAGTTTTTCTCTTTCTTTTTCCCCAAAAAATAAAATAAAAATAAAATCTTTTTTTTTTCTTCCATCACTATTGATCTCTTGATTAAGGTGGTTCTCCTTACTTTTCATTAGAATAAATGAATGGATATTTTTTCAATTATAATTTGATCTTTTGGGGTGTGAACAAACTCTTATGTCCAATTTTGTAGTGGTGCATTGCTATATGATTATTCTTGGCAATTTCAGTATTTAACAACCAACCTAAACTAGTTTGGAATTGAACAATAACTATTTGTGTTTTCTTCTGCTTCAGTTTGCAGTAATGTATGCATCTGTGTTCTGTTACCTTTCACGCACACTTGTAGATATATTTGTAGGCAATATGTACTTTTTCTTTATAAAATATATACAATATTTACTGTTATTTCTGATGTGACGCATAGATGCATTAAGGTTTTCTGGGATTTTTTCTCTTTTCATTTTTCTTATTCCTATTTATGTTTCTGGTGGTGTCATTTTAATTTCTACGCTTCAGCCTCTAATAGATTGGTGTTTTCTTAAATGGCTTTTTTTTTTGTGTGTGTGTTACTCCTCTTTCTGAGCTCTTGTATGCTGAAATTTGTGTTGAGCAAGTATCTAAGTTACACACATTGATGATAAAATGAGAAAAGGTCGCTTGAAATGGTTTGGTCATATCCCGCATCGCCCTCTCCGTAGGTGTGAAATCATGGTGAATGAAGGTGTTAAAAGGGGACGAGATAGACCTGAAATCGTATGGAATTAAGGAAGTTTTCTAGAAGGAAAAATAGGGCATACTGAAAGAAAACTATATAGTATAAGAAATACTAATTAGTTGGAATTATGTGTTAGTCATGTTAGTACGTGTACGGTAAGTACTAAGTTTTTCTAGGAGTCTTTTTGCCCTGTATGTGTTAGGCATGTTAGTACGTTTACAGTGGGTTCTATATGTTTTTTCTAGGAGTCTTTTTGCCATGTCAAAGCCATAGAAAATATAGAGAACTTCTAGTACTTTTTATTTGATTTTTATTTTATATAATATTGATCAAAGATGAGCATAATGGAGCAACATGACTCGAACTTGTTTGGAGTTGAGGCGTAGTTGCTATATTGTCTTCAGCATTTGGCATAACTAATTGTAGATGAATGCATTAACTAACAAGTATTCCATATGTAGTTCAGTGTGAATAGGCTTTGTAACTTAGAAAATTTTGTTCTCATTGTCTTTTCTCTATAAGGTGTTCTCTCTCTCCTGAGCACAGTGTTATTCTCAAATGAGTTGGTAGTAATTAATATGCAAAGTTTGTTAAAATGTTCTGTGTTGTCTACTTCAGGAAGGGGAGCCTTGACATAATTGCTAAAGTTGCTGTCATGTGACCAGGAGGTCACGGGTTCGAGCCGTGGAAACAGCCTCTTGCAGAAATGCAGGGGAAGACTGCGTACAATAGACCTTTGTGGTCCGGTCCTTCCCCGGACCCTGCGCATAGCGGGAGCTTAGTGCACGGGGCTGCCCTTTTTTTTGTTGTCTACTTCTGGATTTGAGAGTTGAAGGCCATTTTTTTTTGTTTGTTTTTCAGTGAATCATGGGTAGAGACATGGAATCTCAGTTAGCTCATGTTTCAGTTGAAACTGGAACTGAACAGAAAAACCTTCCGAAGGAAAACAAAAAAAAGAATCATGGTGTAGGGGTTAATGAGACTATAAAATTTCGCTCGCATGGTTCTCAAGAAACAAATAAGGAGGCGGGGAAAAATGTTCCTGTGAGCAGCCTCCGGAAGGATGCAGTTGACGACTGGCCTGCACCTAAGCAGATACATTCTTTCTATATTGTTAGATATCGAAGATTTGAAGACCAAAAACTCAAGGCCAAATTTGATCTGGCAGAAAAAGAGCTACAGAAAATGAACAAAGCAAGATCTCAGGTTATTGAAAAATTGAAGGCCATAAGGGTAAGTTTTGTCTCTTAACTCTTCTTTCGGCTGAACATTTGCAAGAACATATCAAAGTGACATGCCTATAAGATTATTTAATATGTCATTTTCTGTCTTCTAACAAGAACCTCAAGCTCTTTACCCGAACTCAATAGTCATGTTTGTGTTATACATGTTAAAATATGCACCAAAATTGTTGAATATGGATCCCCTCTCAACATCCAGTTTAGCTCAAAAGTGGCAAGCTTTGCATTGTAAAAGATTATTTGGATGTGTCCAGTCAGTTGATTTGAAATTTTTTAATGAAAATAAGGAAATAACTAACTCATTTAATATTTTGCAGGCAGAACGATCAAAATTGATAGAACAAAGGAAATCTGTGAGTGCTGAGAATCAGGAGTTTTGGGCAGTAATTGGTGAGAAAAGAAAGGAAATGGAACCTCTGCAGGATGCCCTGGGCAAGCTCCGCGGTCCTAGGAAAGCCGGCAGAGAAGGGGGTTCTAGTCTGTGTTCATCCGAGGAGGAGCTTGACGATCTCGTAAGCTCTAGTCTCTTTGTCCTTTTAGTTTCTTAGCTTTTCTTTCCCTTCATTTTCCTTTTGCTGTTCTGTTACCACCTAATGTTAATTGTTATATGTTTTTTATTTTGAAATCGATTAGATTAAGAGTCTGCAGTACCGTATTCAGCATGAAAGCATTACTCTGACTGAAGAGAAACAAATTCTGCGAGAAATTAAACGACTTGAAGGAACAAGGGGAGAGGTAAGAGACCATATGGCTATGAGGGCACAAATTCAAGATTCGATTGGTGAAAAAGAAACAATACAAAAGCAGGTTAAGGTAAGGGTCAGAGCTTTTTGTATACTTGTACAAATGTGAAATATTGAGTTTTCTGGGCTTAAGAATGTCATTGGTTAACTAACGATACTCAATCCGTTTTTGTATTATAGGCTATAAGTGGTAACCTTGACGGGGTTCGTAAGGAGCAACAGGTTGTTAAGGCCAAGCTTAAGCAACTAGATGATCAACTCGATGCCAATACCAGTCAGATTAAGTTATTGGATGAGGAATTGAAGGAAATAACAAAGAAGAGGGACACAGCTTTTGCACATGTTCTGGAATTAAGAAAACACCGTGAAGAAGGGGTATGATGTTCTTTCCTTGTTGATTAAAATGTTGTCAAGTTTACTTTGTGAAAAAAGAAATTATTGAGAGAAGAAATAGGAAATGTTAGTTCTGAAAGGAACTATGTTGATTTATTCAAATGTTAATCTCAGCATTCTAAACAAATATTCTGTCGCTCTCAATTACTCAAAAAATGAAATGTATCATTTGCTTGCAAGCATGAAAGAGAGATGTCTTATGTATTTTATGATCTTTATTATGTCGTTTAATTTTCTCAGAATGCTCCTTTCTACCAAAACAATGCACTGTTGCAAAAAGCAAAATTGCTAGCAGATAAGAAGGATGTTGAAGCCCTTAAAGAACTCTCACTTACAGAGGTACATTAGATCTGTCTTTAGTTGCTACAATTTGAAGTTTTGCATGTTTCTTTCTAACAATAACTTCAATGTTTTCAGGTCGATAAATTCATTTCCCTATGGAGTGGCAGTAAGCCCTTTAGGGATGATTATGAGAGGAGAATTTTAACATCACTTGATATTAGGCAGTTGAGCCAAGATGGCAGGATGAGGAACCCTGACGAAAAGCCTCTAGTATTACCAGCGGCACAGACTGTTTCCCAATCTGAGATTGTTGAAAGAACTAATACGAAACCATTAAAGGAAGAATCAGCGCCTCCTGCTCAGAAAGTACAGAAAGAGAAGAACAACAAGCAGCCAAAAGAAGCAAGTAGCAAAGTTACAGAAAGTACCACGAAAAAGTACATCTTTGATATCGAAGAGGAAATCCATGGTTTAGAAAAGCAACCCAAGGATATGACTTCCAAGAAGGAAGTTGATGAAGCGAAATTGAGGGAGATGAAGAGAGAGGAAGAAATAGCAAAAAATAAGAAGGCAATGGAGAGGAAGAAGAAGTTGGCCGAGAAAGCAGCTGCCAAAGCAGCAATAAAAGCTCAAAAAGAAGCTGAAAGGAAGCTCAAGGAAATTATCCTTATCATTCTATCATTTCTCTCTTGTTTTATGTTGTAGGAATTTACATTAGCTATGAACTTATATAGAATCTTTACTCCTTTCAGGAACGTGAGAAGAAGGCGAAGAAGAAAACTGGAGCATCTGTTCCTGCTGAAGAATCTACTGAGGAACCAACTGAAGCAGCTGCGGAAGTTGCTGAGGAAGAGAAGGCGGAGGAAAAGGTTGAAACATCGGTTGCACCTAAGGTTAAGGCACCGAAAGAGAATACTATCAGGAGCCGATCAAAGCGTGCAAAAGGCATGGATATTCCTAAAACTATACTGAAGCGGAAAAAGGCGATGAACTATTGGCTATGGGCTGCTCCTGCTGCTCTTGTAGTTCCACTACTACTAGTAGCATACAAGTATATTCTCTAGATTATTATGAAAGTCAAAAGTAGAGGGGGAGTAAAAGAGGTGGAAAACCTGGTATTGCTTACAATTTTGTATTGGCAAGTTCTGTTTTTGTAATCTTTAAGTCATGCCTATTTTTTGCATCCTTGACTAAGGATGGAGAAGTCATAATGTTGCGGTAGATAAGGCCTTCTCAGATACTTACAGAAAAGAGTATTTTATGCATGTATGATTTTGGTTGGTGTAGTTTCAAGTTTTGACATTTGCTTAAAGATTTTAATCTTGGCATTTAATTGTAAACATTTAAGTTATTTATGATCTTCCTACTTGCTGCTTCATAAGAAAGATAGCCTTTAACTCTGTTAACCTAGGAGTGCATATTTTGTTTTTGTTCGAGTTTTGTCTTTCTGTTGGTATGCTCTCCCCTTCTCATGCGTTCCCAGAAGTCTGCAAATGCTCGTTTTCGCAAATATTCTATCAGCCTAACTCGTACGTTCTCTTATTATTATTTTTTGATAATTGTGGTATCGAGGCCAGCTTGCGCGCACCTCGACTAATTTCACGGGATACATGTTACCTCTCACCAGCAAAAGGTACTAGGTAATTCTTTCCACCAAAGCTTGGATAAATGAGAATAAATCACCTAGTATTTTTTGCCTCCATATTTAAACTTTAGAACTCAAAAGATTGTAAGTTGTGGAATTCATCTTAATACTTCAATATGATCCTTGATCGAGTTAATTACTCAAATGGTCACTCAACTATCCCAAATTATTTCCTAAAATCACTTTTCTTTCGTTTGTAGCAACAAAGTCACTGAACTAGGCGTATTGCACTCAAAAGGTCACTCAACTAGATTTTTCAAATTTTGGATTGCTAAATACTCCTATTTTACCCTCTAAATTATAAACATTTATCTTCTTTTTATTTTTTTTTGTTATACTTTTTAGAATTAACAACAAAAATTCAAAAATTTATTTACACAATTCAGAATGAAAGAAAATAAAGGTTGTAAAATATATATTCCATGCACGTAATATAAAAATAATTATTTAAATAGATGTATTTTTATAATATACATTATATATTCTTGAAAATTATGCTCAATTATATTATTATGTTTCTATCAACTTTCCGACGATACAAAGTTATGTCACCTGAAAGCAGGGGAACTACCTGTATAGGGTAAAATATGTTATATTAAATCGTGCATGGAATATAAATAATATAATTAAGCATAATTTTCAAGAATATATAATATATATTATAAAATAACTTTATTTAAATAATTACTTTTATATTACGTGCATGGAATATATATTTTACAACCGTTATTTTCTTTCATTCTGAATTGTGTAAATTAATTTTTGAATTTTTTATGTTAAAACTAAAATTATTATTACGAATAAATTATTCTAATTAATTTTTTTTACTATGCTCATTATTTTGTTATTCTGGCATTATATATGCTTAAATACTTTTTTATTTTTTAAATTTATAAATAATATATATTTATTCTATAGGTAAGTCCATAATGTAAATTAAAAAGGGGAAAATTATAATATTAAAAAGTTTTAAAAAAATAAAAAGAAGATAAATATTTATAATTTTGAGGGTAAAATAGGTATTTGACACTCCAAAATTTGGAAAATCTAATTGAGTGATCTTTTGAGTGCAATAGTGTAGCTTTGAAAGTAATCATGTAAAAAAATACACAGAAATAATGTCACGGTAAATATATCAAAGAATAAGAACAAAGCACCCAGACATAGTAATCAATGAGAATAAAAAGAGCAATAAGAACACTAAAATTTTAATATGGAGGAATTTTCTCATGTTAATATATATATTTAACTTTTAGAAATAAAAAAAGAAGGCAGGCTCTTATTTAATAAATAACAAAAATATTATCACCAAAGATTATAACCTAGTGATTTTATAGAAGTTTCTCACGGAATAGGTGTTTATTTAATTCTTACATATAATTATTTTCTTCTTTTCCCCCAATCCGTTATATAACACATTAACTACGCCCCAATAGCAAATAAATTGATGTTGGCTAATACTCACACACGAACCATGTTGCATTTAAATTTGCCCAACTTTGAAATAAGAATAGAAAAGAGTATTTACCAAAACCTCTCATTTCAATATTGAAACATATCCATTCACCCAAAATCTTTGAGTGTTTACTTTAAATTCCAAAATACCCAAATCGTTGAATTGGAAATTGCCCCACAAACCATTGCCACTCCCCTTAAAATCCTGAACCAAATGTGCGCACTACGAGTGTCGACCATGGCTGCCAGTGGCTTAGCCTCACTTCCGATTCTCAGAAGAGTACTTCCGTCACTCCTATCTTCTCGTCCCACTCATGCCGTCAAAGAGATCTTTTACGATAGAACCCTCATCCTACGAGCACCTCTGCGCTCCTCAGGTCTGCAAACTTCTCTTTATCCTCATTCCTCCGTTTCTTCTCGTGATTTTTGTGTCAATTTTTATCATTGTACTGCAATTTTAGTTGAATAGTTACTCATTAAAATTTTTTTTTTAGTTGAATAGTTGAGTGTAATGTGAATTCCTGATTACTATCCATCATTGGAACTGAACAAAATAGCGTTGCTTATAATATAGCGTCAGAAAATCTTTTCTGCATCTGCGTGTTTTTCAAATTTGGACGATCAAAAAGTTGGAACGATCCATAAAAAGAACTCGGCCCCTTCGGCTAAGCCATCTCACCATAATACCATGTAGATCGACATTAGTTTGCTAGCATTTTGTTAATCCTAACCAAGGTAACTCGTTCCAAGGGTGACTATCTAATTGACCAAGCCAATAGTACGACCATAGTCCTACACCGGCACGTGTAGCTTTGGATATTGGCTCCTTTTGACCAATACCTTCTCGGTAACATAATAAGAATCCCAAAAATGTTGCACTAAATTTGGCACCTTTGGCCCTTTCTTAAAAACATGGGCACTTTTGCCGCTTAAACATAATCTTTTTGTGTTTCATAGCCATTGACATTTTATCATTTGAAAGCTATAAAGTCATATACATGTTCATAGAAAAACTTTACCATTATGCTCATTTTACATTTAAAACTTGAAACATTCTTGTCATTGTCATTTTCATTTGAAAACCCTTTTCATCAATGTTAATTTGAAGGCTTGAAAACACTTAAAATCCCAACACTTTATGAGTCATAGCGTTTGAGCATTTTCATTTCAAAACATATGAACAACAACAACAACAACAAACCTAGTGTAATTCCACAAGTGAGATCCAGGACGGTAGTGAGTGCGCAGACCTTACCCCTACATGTGTTATCAAAGGTGCGCTTAAGCCCGGAAGCGAGACTCAAAACATGTTGAGCGCTTCGCCTTGCTTAGTTGGCGCTTCAGTATTATCATCAAGGCCCTAAGACATACTTTTCCTTGCCAATGAGCGTAATCCTGATAAGATGACACTAAATAATTGATATTTCACTTTATCGTGAATTTTCTTCAATTTATTTGTCCATATATTTGGTATTCGTGCTTATAGATCTTAGTCTTGGACTAGACATTATTTGTCCATATTTGCGCCTTTCTTCATTAAAACCCATGTTTTATTTGCGCTTTGTGCGTAAAGCCCCAACATACCATAGAGCTTTTTTGCGCTTTTCGCTTTTGATAAGACCCTCGGCTCAAGGAACATTTAAAAACATATGCATAATTACTTGTCCCACACAATCATACATTAACATTTCATAAAACAATAGACATATAAACATACTTAGAAGACAATGTAGACATACTTAGAAGATATGAAGTTTTGGAGACATAATTCTATGGAAGGGTTCGGTTCAATATACCTTGGGTATGCCCTTCTAGTCATTAATGTTAGCTCCAATTATCTAAGAACGAGCCAATCGACACTAACAATTTGAATCTGCACTTATGAGTTCACATTCATCAACATCATATCACAACAACACCCATTCAATCAACTAAGTGTTCAATGCTTATGCTTACTTCCCAAAGATTCAAGAGAAATCCACATTCTTCCTTTGGATGTCGATTCTCGTGTTTTAACTCCAAGCCGTACATTAAATGCCTCATGGAATCTAGTAGCTTCATTAGAAACTCAAAATGATACAATTTGAATCAACCCATCACTACTCATCGTCTTCTCTACCCAAAAATCCATTTCCAAGACCCATTTCTAGTGTTCCAACAATCTCTATGTTAAACTCCGCTTTTATTCCATAAACATGTTCTATAAGCTTATTAGAACACAATATATAACAATGGAGTAGCGGGGCTACGTTGTTTTAGACAAATCTTGAAATTTCCCAACTTTGAAGATTCTTGAGGAAGATGAAGATTCTGGACAAAATCCACATTTGGATGTTATAATTCATGTTAACAAACATAATCTAACTTAAATCAACCATTTCCAACTAACCTTGATGTTTGGAAGGAGACTTGGGGTAAAAAACCTATCAAGGAACCATGCCCTAGCTTAAAAAATGAAGGGTGACCGAAATGGCCCTTTTATAGAACAGTCTGAATGCTACAACATTCGATTTTTGGATGCTGCAGCATTGCCTCGAAAATATTTTCTTCTGGGAATAGTAGAGAGTGCTGCAACATTCGATTCTTGATGCTGCAGCAACAACAACAACAACAACAACAATCCAGTGTAATCCCACAAGTGGGGTCTGGGGAGGGTAATATGTACGCAGACCTTACCTCTACCCCGAGAGGCTGTTTCCAGGAGACCCCCGGCTCAAAGAGGCAACAAGAGACACTATATTAGTACTATCAATAGACTCATAATAAAACAAC